ACAGAAAGTTGCTCATTTCTCACACCTTCGTCATTATTGCGCTGAGGTCGATTGAAAGCCGTGTACACATCCTTTAAATACATCCCACAGAAAGTAAGTGCCTCATATTGAACCCAAGCCTCTACAATTGATCCTTCGGGCTTCGCTCTGTTGCGTACGCTTCTTTTCAGCTCTCCAAGAAGCCTGCCAAATTAAAACGAAAAGGTGCAAATTAGCAAGAACCAAGCATGGGATAAAGTGAGGATTATATACCTTTCTATTGGATACATCCAACGATAATTGACTGGACCAGCAAGCAATGCCTCTTCTGGCAAGTGAACCATAACGTGAATCATACTCTGAAGAAAGCCGGAGGGAATATCATCTCAAACTTGCATAAGACTTGGACAATGTCATGGCGCAACTGATCAATGTCTGTCTTTCGCAACGTTTTTGCCGTCAGTTGGGAAAAAAATCTGGACAACAGTATGATTGGCTTGACAACATCTGCCGGCAATAGGTGTCGAATCCCCACAGGAAGTAGGCGTTGCATAAACACATGGCAGTCATGGCTTTTGAGTCCAGTAAATTTACCCCCGTCAACATTCACGCAACGTGCGATATTAGAAGCATACCCGTCAGGAAACTTTACAGAAGATACAAACTGTAGAAACTCTTTTTTGTCATTCGGTTTCATGGAAAAAAATGCAAGATCCCTTATAGCTTTATCACTGCCCCTTTTCAGTCATAAACCCCTTCGTATGCCCATTCTTTCCAAATCAAGACGAGCTTTTATCGTGTCCTTTGTTTTCTCCTTGATATCTAGAATCGTTCCCATCAATGTGTCAAACACATTTTTCTCAACATGCATAACGTCGAGATTGTGCCTCAATTTTAGTTTCGACCAATATGGGAGCTCAAAAAACATAGACTTGTGCGTCCAGTTCATATGTGTAGCAGGTCTGGTCCTACTAACTGTTTTACCGAACGGACCAAAATCCAAACGGTTAAGCTGTTCCAAGATCTGATCACCGGACGATTCTCTAGGTCTTGTGCGACGCTCTTTGTTCCCATCGAACTCTTTATCCTTTTCCCTCAACTCGTGGTCCCATGGCAACCATCTTCGATGCCCAAGGTAACACACTTTTCCAGTGTGCCAACCAGAAGTCACATCTTCCTTGCATACAGGGCATGCCATATAACCCTTTGTGCTCCACCCCGACACCATTGCATATGCGGGAAAATCATTCACAGTCCACATAACTGCCACCCGCAAAGTGAACATCTTCCCAGTAGATTTATCGTACGTGCGCACTCCGTTTGTCCATAAATCTTTGAGCTCATCAACCAACGGCCTTAATTATGCATCGATTGACCTGCAACCTGCCAAGATCCTCAGTTATCAAAACAGTCATCATCATGTACTCTTTTTTAATGCATTTCCAAGGCGGCAAATTATATGGGAATACGAAAATCGGCCAAGTGCTGTGGTGTTGGTTTAGAACCCCGTACGGATTGAATCCGTCAGTGGCAAGTCCCAACCTAACATTTCGGGGATCAGCAGCAAACTCCGGGAACGTTCGATCGAACTCTTTCCATGCTTCCCCATCTGCAGGATGCCGCATCACATCGTCGTCTACCCGTTTTTCCTTATGCCATCTCATGTCTGTGGCAGTATGCGTCGACATATACAATCGCTGCAACCTTGGTTTCAGGGGCAGATAACGCATGACTTTTTGTGGAATCTTACTCATTCTATTCTGAGATGTCTGTTTGAACCTCGATTCATTGCATATAGGGCATGTATCCAACGTTTCATACTCTTTCATATACAATTGCTGCAATCTTGGTTTCAGGGGGCAGATAACGCATGACTTTTTGTGGAACCTTAATCATTCTATTCTGAGACGTCTGTTTGAATCTCGACTCATTGCATATATGGCATATATCCAATGTTTCATACTCTTTGTAGAATAACATGCAATTATTTTTGCAAGCGTGGATTTTTTCATAACCCAATCCAAGACCACTCAACATCTTCTGCGCCTGTTTGTGGTCTTTCGGCAAACAATTGTCTGTCGGAAGCATCTTCTTGAAAACCCCCAAAAAGTAATCGAAACACAGGTTCGACATACGGTACTTTATTTTTCCGTGCATTAGCTCCATAATCGCCGTCAGAACAGAAAATCTCTCGCACCCCGGATATAACTCTTAGTTGTCATTTCTTAACAGTTTTTCATACTGTTCAAACTCTGCACTATCCGTTAGTGTAGGCACATCATCTTCCCCTTGCTGATTGCTGCTCATCGATGCAAATGGAAAAGCATCATTTATAATATCCATGACTTGTTCATTAGGATCCACAATAGGTTCAACATTGTCCA